TGTTGTGTAGCCACAGGACGTTGGCACCTCGCAGTCACTGAATCAACCATGAAAACCTCTGTTTAGCAAAGTATTAGAGACCACCTGTCTGACCGGTAAAGCTTGACCAGAATTGGGTTGTGCGGCAGGATGATGGCTCTCTAGAAACACAAGCCTAAATCATGCATCCAAATGTTTCATATGCAAATCAGTGATTTTCATACGTAAATTTATTCGTACTTTATAAACAAATGTAGAAGTCCCTCTGGCTATATGTACAAATAAAGGAAGGGCTAGCTATGCTAGAAAACACTTTTCCAAAATGAATGCTACCACTACTACTGCTACTCATAATAGTGTTAGTAGTAGGAGCAGTAGTAGTAATAATAATAACAACAATAATAACAACAGTAATATCAACAATAATAACATGGATGGAAGCAAATTGCAAGTAAATAAAACAATATGTAGATGTAGACTTTACCCTTTTAATTTAAATACATTCCAGTGTTTGTTATCTCGTCTCACCTTATCACAAAAGATTCATTTATAAATTGCACATAAAACTGTTGGAGGTCATCACTTAAACTCTAATTTCTATCCAACAGATGCTGAAAATCTTTACTTTTAAATAAATGTGTGTAGGTGCCCCACCTGTTTGCTTCTTTTTGTTGAAGACTCAGGGGTAATTATATTGTATAGAGAATTGGGGGGTTGGTGGTATGCAGATCACACATGCCTGTTGTCTCAGAATGACTCTGATTTACTAGCATAGATACAGTGGTGAAAATAAAATAGAGCAGTGTGTACGCTTCATGATTCTGATGGTAATTTTGTGTTTGCACTTCTTGATCACTGATCCAATGATCCCCAGCACAGCAGTGAATTTAGAACAGAAAGACTGAAAATGAGAAGAAGCAGAGTGCTGAAATGACCAAATCAAAGTCCAGACCTCAACCTGATTGAAATGTAGTGGCGAGATCAAAAGAGAGCTGTGCACAAACAAATGCCTGCAAACCTGAAACAGTGTTTTAAAGAAGAGTTGGTCAAAAGTCCTGAAAAAGGTGCGAGAGACTGAGAGTCATACAGAAAGCAGTTACTTCAAGTAACTGCTGCTTAAAGTCTCTCTACAAACTGCTAAATCATGGGGTGGAGCGAGTTTTCACACATTGCTTCTGCATTTTGGCTTTATTTTTGAGAAATAAAGAACAGCACTGTAATATGTCATGTTTGGTTTCATTCTTACAGGTCATAGCTTGTATTTACCTCATTTTAAGACGCAGATTTTGTTTTTATTGTGTCCTAATAAGTAAAACCTTTGACCTGACAGAGAGTGTACTTTATTTTTACCATGACTCCAAGTTTTTCTTTGCTGGAAAAAGCTCCCAACAAACTTTAACTACTGTGTCTAAAACTCTCCTGCTGATGTTGACTTAGGAATAACAAGACAGAGGTGATACAAAACCTGGATATAACAGAAACAAAAATGATTCAGCAACAATGCTTTCACTGAACTGCCACAGAAGCTAACTTCACAACCCATTTGCGCAGTGGCATGTTTCAGTGTATGGAGAAATTTTTTCTTCTTTCACTTCAGCTTGATGCTAATCAGTGCTGCAAGGAATGTCAGTTCTCACAGCACATTGCAGTCATTCTGCAACTATGACTCATTTGGTATGTTTCAGTAACTCCAACAAGTGTCTGCGTTTTTTCTTTTATTTCTGTAAGTGACTAACGGGAAAAACATTAAAAATGTATCCATAAAATTCATTTGAATGGAAGCTCTGTGTTTTGGGAAAAGGAAGGTTTTTTTAGGTTGTTTTTTTTTTTTTAAATCAAGAGTCAAAAGCAAATGAAAAGCAAAGCAGGCATTATATAACACTGTTCCACTATGGGAAGCAGGAAGCATATGAAAGCCACAAGTTCCCATGCAAATTTATTTTAACTTGGCTTGTTAGCATGGTTTTGAAGCTTTGGTCAGTGTGGCGTATTCATCTATCAGTGTATGCATTTGTGTGTGCTGATAGAAGACATGCTGTGCAGGCACAGATCTATTTTTATTGCGGAAACGTTGTGGGGATTCACCTCTAATGTGTTAACCATTGTTTTAAAGCAAGCACACCTACTTTCAGGTCGACGTTAAAGAAGCAGTTCTTAAGCTGGCAGTGCAAAAATAACAAACTTGTGCTTTTTAATAACTTGAGTAAACATAGTGTGCATCAAGGTTTTTTAAAAAAAATACAAATAAGCCATTTTGCGTGTATAATAAACAAAAATCAATTTAAATATATATTAATTTGCATGTTTTTCAAGAGTAAACATCAGAACATTGTAAAAAGCCCAGTTTAAAATTGTTATTTTGTTGAGATTGGAGTCAAAGAATGTTACAAAGGGAAATCTTTGAACGGTCTTTGAATGGATGCCACCATGAAACCTCTAGGGAGGATTACTTGCATTAAGACAAATAGTTTTAATGTCAAAAATGCAAGTGAATAGTATCTAATTAAACACAACCTACTTTGCATTAATAAAAACTTGCAAAATAAATATTTAGTTACATATTTTTGAACATTTTATTGAAGGAAAACAGTCTTTATTGTCCCCTCTTAGATCTGACACAAGTCAGTCTTTGGTTGAAGGTGGACATGATTACACAAAACTGGCATCCATATTTGAAATTGACCTCATTTGTGTTTTATATGTTTCAGGCTCATCCTTTCCTTCTAATTAGCCAAAGAGTTAATTTAATCTTTCAGTTGCTATTTAGGTCCTCTGCATTTTTGAAAGAAAAGTTTTTTCTCTTTAGGAAAAGGCAAGAAAGAACTGTTGTTCACAGATATGGGGTCATCTTTTGAGAGGATAGTTACACATAATCATTCCAGTAGAAAGTAAGGAGATGGATAGAAAGGAAATGCGACCCAGAAGGCAAATTAATCCTTTAATTACTCAATTACAGAGAACTAAATACGACAAACAACCTTGAATATAACTATCAGCTTCGGGCAGTCAATAATCAACAGTCATACACATGCTGCCCAGTGTCATTTCAACTGACATTTGATAAACAAATCAGTTCAGTGGTAAAAGGTTGTTTCTTTTTCCCGGTACATCCTCTTTCCTGAGGGTATAGACACTGGTATTACTGCATTAAAATCTTCTGGACTAGATGACTGCAGCTGACTATACTCAGGTTTTCTGAAATCATTTGTATATTTCCTGCAGTTGCTGCAAGGTACTAATGGATGCAAGCAAAACAGGGAAAAAGGTTATAAGAACTTTTTATTATGTCTGTGAAGCCAGGCAGTGGTTGTCCTCTGAATGCGTACAGTACAGAACTACTCTTCTGTTACTGTGACACAGGTTTTCCTAGAAATCAACAGCGTATACTGTACCTCAATTGAGGTCAGTGGGTAAGCTGCATTGGGGCTTTTGTTCCATAGCACTGGAATATAAACACCTTTTTTCACCAGTGTTTTCATTCCAGCTACACATTTATGAACTACCTTAAAACATTTTTTTTTTTTTTTACATTTTTTTGTTTGGATTTGAGAGTTTTTATTGTTTTAAGTAAATGGTTTTAATTATATAATCAATCTTGCATGTTTTTTTAAAAGGCAACGATTTAAATCTGCTCTGTAGGTACATTTGATTTGATTTGCCATACCCATGAAAGTCTTTTCAAGACTGTGTATGACTGACATTACCTGTATTATTCTCTTGCTATGCTTAGCCAATTTATTAGGTGCACACAGTTAAAGTTCAGTCTAACACAGCAGCCTAGCTTTACATCCAAAACCTTGTTAAAGGTTGTGATATTGAGCTTGAATTTATGTCACAATTTTAAACAAATAATCATGTGAAAGCAGAATCGAAACCTTCCCAAATCAGTTTCTATATCCAGATAGTCTAAGGTTTTGTGTTGGATTGCTTTAGTTTTTTTTTTCCACGATTAAATGGAAACCATCCACATTTTTGCACCCAGACAGTTCAAAACTGTGCCATGCTAGTTATGTGCATAACACAGACTAATGACAGTTGTATTCATCACCACTTTGAGTTACGTAACATGTAGTTCCCCTATCTGATTTTGATGGTTCAAGTCTAATTTCAGTTTGACTCATCAAAACCAGAACTTTAAATGCTAATTAATGCTACAACTGACATTTTTGTTGTTTTTGGTTTTTTTTCCAGGGTTTTAGTGTATTTGTGCTCCTTTTTTTTTTTTTCTTCAAAGACACTCTGAATCTTGCGCTTAGAGGTCTGATTTGTCCCACTTTTATTTGTGGTATTAAACCTGAAACAAACTTGTGGCAGCAGATGCACGAAGTCATTTTGACTTCGTGCATCATTCTGCTGCTCACAGAGGAAGCTACAAGCATCCTGGTGAATGTCGTATGTAAAATTTTGGACAAAACCAGTTTGGGGTTTTTTTGGGGGGGGGGGTTGTTCCCATTTGTCTCTAGAGAAATACTCATTTAGCACCATGAAGAGCCAGAACTAAAAGATTTATATTTATTCTGCTCAGATTTGCAGCTCTTGTTTTGCACATTATTACTGAAACGACACCATTAGTATGCCATTAGTCAGTGTCTTTCATTTTTATGCGCTTATTTTTGCAAACGCTTATGAAATATGGTGTCTTCTTTACTTCTCTTTTGCACATGACAGACTTAAGAAACATTGAGGCTATTGACGTTTTTGAGACATTTCCAGGCAGAAAAACATATTCTTGTCACTCGTTTTGCATAACTATTGAAATCAGTCAAACACACAAACATCCTAGTGACATATTGCACATCTGCTTTATGCCTTGAAACACCTGAATTAGCAGACACATTTGCATTTGCAAGTGTATGCATGCACTTCCTCTACATGCTGTTCTCTGGTGGCTACATCTAACGGTGCTCTGCACACATTTAATAATTAAACACTATACAAGAACACACCTTGTGCTCACTTTCCATTGCACAGTTGTGTGCATGTTTCCTCAGTGTCTGCTTTTTGTTTGTGTTTCTTTGCAGCCATCAAGGAGAAACACAGCGACTGGACAGAGTTCCTTATTCAGGACCTGACGGGTGCCAGAACGGCACCGGCCAACCTGCTGGAAGGGGTGAGTGTGTGTTTACACAGACAATGACACACAAGAGAAGCACAATGACACACTAACCCTAACCCTATACTTTCTACAATTTTAATATTTTTTCCCAAATTTAAGAAAAAATGTGGTTATTTCAAATCTTTAGTTTAAAAGTCAAACTCAGATGAAAGAACAGGCTTAAAGGCAGGTGGAGATTGGAGATAGAATAGAGATACAGAGATAGTTAAATAATTATTTTGCTCTCTGAATCATAAGAAGCAACTGGTGGAGTCCAAGAGTAAAAATATGAAGTTTAAAATGAAAATAACGGGCCTCTTTTGATTATGTTTTGTGACAGAATAGAAATCAGCTGTGAGAGTGTGGAGCATGTTTGCATTCTGCACCTGCAAGACTGATATAAAGCAGAGGCCAAATATAAGAACACAAGTTCAGATCCTGCTAGCCAAACTCCAGATGGTCCAGTCAGGTCCGCTGGATAGCTTTGCAAGTGTAAAAGATTGGGGAGAAGTCATTAATAATTCAAGATGTTCGATAAAATTTGCAGGTATTTCTGGAGTGATGGCAGCATTACTGCAGACGAGAGAAAATTTAAGCTCTTTCTACATGTGAGGGTTTTCTTTCTTTATGTGCACATGTACACAGACATTTAGTTAAAATCATCGAAAGTCGGCTTCTTAATTAGCTGATTGTGTTTATTTGTTTAAAAAAAAAAACAACCTAAAACCTCCCCACCGACCACGTTTTCCAAGACATGATCTGACACATTAATTAGCATACATCATTTTTATGTGAGGTCTAAATAGATTTCTCAAAATCTCAAATTATTGTCTTGAGCTGAAGAAAGCAAAGTGAATGCACCTCCCAGCAACGTAAAAGCAAAGCATTTCATTCCATTCAATTCAATAGAAACACTTAAAAAAAAACTTGCACCCTCTCTAACACTTTGTCAAAGCAGGTAAATTAAAGTGTTTTGGCAAGTTTTGAGATTTGTATCCTAATTAACACTCAATAACAAGTTCTTGTTGTACTTCTTGACATCTGTGAGAGCAGGATAATTAGTAGGTCTGGATGCCGGTGTGATCATCTAAACCTAAAACTGTTTCGTTTTCAAGCTCAACATCCTGTTGAGATACCTCTTTTTCTCATCTTAATCTAAGGATAACACGCAAACTCTTTCCACTGAGGTTTGATTCGATCATTAAGCTAGCCTTTATAGCATCTCTGTGACCAGTGTGTTTTATTTTCATTTTATTTAATAAGTAAAAACTCTTCTCTGTCCATCCCCTTTAGCCTCTACGAGGCAAGAACACAGTTGATCTGATTGTCGACGGATCGGTGTTGGAGCTTCAGGACCTTTTAGACCCTTACCTTTACTGGCCTGTACGAGTCATCCAGAACGTTGGAGGGAGGCTCCGCCTGCGGTATGCTGGCCTCTCTGAAGAGTACCACGATCATGACACGTGGCTGTTCTATCTGGACGTCAGGCTCCGGCCCCTCGGCTGGGCCCAGGAAAACTGCCTGACCTTAGAACCGCCAACAGGTGAGAGTCTAATAAGTTTGCACTTTTTCACCTTTTACATTTTTATCTACAAGTAAATTATAACTTCCAGATACCAATTAATTATACTCATTGTTTTTGTTTTGTTTTTTGTTTTTGGGCATTTCTTCTCATCACAAATTATTATATTATCTATGCTGTGTGTCCTTGTTATTGTCTTGGTTAATACTTTGCTTCATAAAATGTCTTTAGAAAATGGGCTTGAACTACCTAAAGCCATTTAAAACATAAGATGTAAAGGTTCATGCTGACAAGGCGGTATGCTGGGTTTAAATGTTCGACCACCTGCTCGGAAAATAAGGAGACAAGTTAATCCTTAAAGGTTTAATATTTAAATCATCAAACGGTTTATAAGTTTTTTGTAAAGACAAAGTCATAAAGACAAATTATGATCTATAACTGTTGTCAAACAGTTGACTTTGTGTGTCTGTGTTTTTAAATTGAAGAAAAAAGTTGTTGAATTGAGAAAAAAATAATCTCATATCTGTCGCGCAGAGCTCAGGTCTACGAAGAGCACCTCCGACTGGCAGCAGGCTCTAGAGGATGCTCAGCTTGATGGACAGAAGAATCCATTACCTCTGGAGGTGTTCAAGGTGAGGCTCCGTGACCTGCAGGAAGATCAGGTCCAGGTGAACTATGGCTAATTTATGATATAAGGAAAGAATAGGAACTCTTTATTTTACATCTCCAGGAAGTTTTCTTACTTGGTACCAATTACAGAAAAAAAAGAAATGCTCTTAAAAGCCAATTAAATCTCAATAATTGTGTATTCAGTCATCCATTTATTCAACTGTTATTAAAAATCTGTGGAACTTTAACATTTTCATGTTCAGCTGACCCCCCCTCCTGCACCGAATAAAGCATTTAGTAGGAGGACGGGTGGATTAATTGGAACTGCAGCAGCTGAACTCTCTTCTTTCCACCGCATCATTTGAATATTTTCCATCTCCATTCACAAAAATATTTAAGGAATAATTTACTTTAGAGATGAAGAGCCAGAACAAATTATGATCAAACCAATCCAACTTATTCAAGGTTAAGAACTTTAGCGTTAAACTGTGCTTTTAATATGAGTCAATGCAAAAATGAAGTGTAATTTATTAATTGCATTCCTCTGTTTATGAGTGTAGCTGGAATGATTTTGTGTTGGATGACGTCCTCCTAATGCTGTGCTTGAGCACCTGCTGCATAGACACAGATGCCTGCAGCTAATGTTAGGTTTTGATAGAGCTCTGCACAAGTAAGAGGGTGCAGAAACTGAAATGAATCCAATACGGACATAACAGATGAGTAAAAGTGTGAAAGAAAAATCTTAGAAATAAGAGATTTAAATTACCAAAGCAGCCCACATGACACGGTCCTACCAACTGGAAAGGCTAGAATAAATAGAAGCCTGCTTACATTCAGTGAATAAGCATAGTAAAGGCAAAAAGTCACGGCATTACCTAAAACCTTCTTACATAATACAGTTTATTGTGTGTCATCACAAACAACAGAAAACACACCCTTCAAAGAAGATCTGAGTGTGTTTTCTTGTGAAACCAAGAAAGTACCGTGTGATACAGGATGTACTGATTACACTTTGAGTCAGTTGGAATAGAGAAGGTAAAAAAAACAAAGAAATACAGGAAACACAACCTTATCAACACCAAATTGAATGTAAAAAAGGTGTCATGGTGCTAGAAAAACAATGTGCGAGGCAAAAAACTATATTTAATTCATCACAATGATCGCCAGCAGCATGAATTAAGCCTCGCAGAATGCTTCATTCATTATAGGGCCACCCAGCTGGGTACTGAATACTCTTTGTGCTTTTGTGTGTTAGTGTGTGTGTGTGTGTGTGTGTGTGTGTGTGTGTGTGTGTGTGTGTGTGTGTGCGTGTGTGTGTGTATGTTTGAGTCGTGTGTGTTTGGTGTGTGTGTGAGCAAAAGTGAGCACATTTGTCTAAATAATCTTGACTTTACTGTGTCAGTGACCATGTAGAACCTGCCCAAGCACTCATTCAAGATGGGTATGAAGCTGGAGATGGTTTCTCCATGGGAGCAGCTCCAGATCTGCCCTGTTTCTGTCACAAAGGTGAGTCACGCAGAAAGGCTCTGAGAACAATGGCTTATCTAAAAAAAACAAAACAGAGCATTCGTCAGCTTCTGTTATTAGTGAAGCATTGGATTTTTTAAATGTTTTTCCATGGACGAGGCCTTCCTCTGCACCACTGGAATCAACTGGAACCTTTCTTAGATGTGAATTTGGGTTTTTTCTTCCTTTTTACACATTAATTAAAAATATTAATTGATTTTTGAGCAGTAAAACTACCAATCATTTGCACATTATTCTAACTATATAATACCGTTTTTGTAATGTATTTTATTAAATTGTTCCATGATGAACACATTTCTTCCTAATTTACTAAACACAAAGAAAAGCATCGTGCAGGGGGAAAGGAAAGCAGCTTAGATAGGACATACTGTGCTCAATGTTATGATTTTAAATTTTATAATTAGTTGGCCTTTATTGTTTCACAGGGTAGATCCAGCGGCTTAAAACACTGGCAGACTAGTGTGGCACAAGAATAATTGTACATTACCAAGGATGCCTTCATACTTGAAATCTTTTTTCTTTTAATTTGCTCTGTCTAAGCATTTAAAAGATGGAGAGTAAATTTGTCGTCTATAATCTCGTTTACACGTGTGTTGAAATCATTGTGTTAGGAAGAGATTAAATGTTCTCCCTCTGTTTACTCTTCAGGTCTACAATGAGTTCTACTTCCAGGTGATGTTGGATGACCTCTCTGCTGAAGCCAAGCCACACTTTGTGGTGTGTCATGCCAACTCTCCTGGCATCCTGCCTGTCCAGTGGTGTATGAAGAACGGTGTGAGTCTGGAGAGGCCTCGGGCCTACGAGGGCCAGGACTTTGACTGGGCTGACTACCTGAAGCAGAGCGGGACAGAAGCAGCTCCTGACGCCTGTTTTCCTGATGTAAGCATGGGGTGAAGAGATGTAAACTGGGACACTCCTGATGGTTCAGCCTATGTTTTGATGGGAGCGTGTTTAGTACAGAGGAAGCTGCTTTTCAGTAGGGTTCCTGCAAACATTTTAAAACCAAATTGAAGACCGAAACAACACAACACTTCAGGATAGTGGCAGCAGAGACAGAAGACACAATTGGTGCTGCTTTATGGTTTTATTCAAGTGTCATCTGCTTTAAATCCCACTGTCCCAACAAGCTCAGAGGTTTTTAACATATCTTGTAAGTTGCGATCTGAAGTGCAAAGCCATTGCCTGCACTTTCACTGCTGTAATTGTCTTTACCACCACTGTGCCCCACTGTCCCAATCACACAGTTTGGGAACAGAAGAAGCTTGCACCAATGAGCACCAGGCAGAAAATGCATGAAATGATCGAGAGCAGTGTCTGCCACTTTATTCTGTTCTGGTGAAGTTTAAAAAGCAAACCATATTTGCATTTGGATGATGCATGCAAAACATTCTGTACTTTCAATTCTTTCCCATTTATATCACTTTTAAAACTTGTTTTTAAATATTTATTTATGTTAGTACACTGTGAAAACAGCAGAAACACTCAAAGAATGAGCTGCGTTTTATCAGTGTTTTATTCTTTTTCAGGTTTACGTAACAGTTGACACTCTACAGTGAGACACATATTGTAAACAGGAACTTATTAGACCCATCTGACACTGTGTTACATGCAATGAGCCTACAAAATCCCTGTTACAGCACCTTGTTTGAAGTACTTCAAGTGGAAAATAAGGGTTAAATCAGTTTGAAGGTCTTGTAATCTGAACCTGGCTTCAGGTTACCTCAGGTTAGATCCCTGCTCTGAATGTAAAATAAGCCCTCTCTCTTCCCCTCGTGTGTGTGCGTTCAGACATGGCAGAGCAGAGACTTTGCCAAGGACATGTGGCTGGAGGCAGTGAACCCTCACCGACCGGCTGAGGTGTGTGTGGCTCAGGTCACACAGGTCAGAGGACGCCTGCTGTGGCTCCGACTGGAAGGTACATTCGTTTGTGTGTGAGTGTGTGCGTGCAGTGAGGATTAAGTGTCAGGGACTCCTGTTGTGTCCCAGAGTGAAGATGGGGTAGAGAAAGAAAACAGCAGTTTGTATATGTGTGACAGTTCCCTCACCCCTGCTTTCCCTCCGCTGTCTGCCCATCTCTAGGTGTGCCGAAGCCTCTGTCAGAGTGCATCGTGGATGTCGAGTCCATGGACATCTTCCCTGTCGGCTGGTGCGAGGCCAACGCTTACCCTCTGACCCCTCCAATCAAACCTGTCTGTACGTAGACACACAAATATACACAAATGTAAATTTGCCATGCAGTGACAGCTTAACACAAAGTCTCATTGATTCGTTCTGCAGGCCAGAAGCAGAAGAAGATAGCAGTGGTCCAGCCAGAGAAACAGTAAGAAGCACAACGTTAAACAAACTGAAAGTAAAACTGACTTTAGACTTTGTCCCAAAGACAGGCACAGTATCCGTGTTTTACATTCTTTTAATGGGTGACTCATCTGTTTGCATGGAAGTTTCCAAGAAAATGACCCTATTTCTTAGTTGATGTATCACCCTCTACGACTACTTTCAAATAGAAATACCACATGGAGTTACATTTTTATGTTTTAGTCCAGATTAGAGTGCAGAAGTATGGTGAAGCAGGGTGTGATTTATTTTTGGGGAGGGGGGGCTTTGCACACTCATGATGTCTGGTTCAAAAGGTGGGACTAGACAATCAATTGCTATGGATATCAGTAGCTGTGCCCATCTTTGATATACAGTTTATGTTTTTGAAGACGTGTGCTAGTATTTTTGGGAGACATTTTATGCTAATATTCAGATGGCTGAGAGTCCTCCTTCCCCCTAATAGTTAACTAGTAGATACAGTGTCTATTGTAGGAATTATACACAACCTATATTTACAAAAAAAAAAGACAAGACTTGGTTACCTTTTGCTGTATTTCAAAGTGCTCCAAAAGGAAACTATGAAGGTTTTCCTAGCCTCATTTATCAAACTGATCTGGCGCCCTCCATTTTCTCCTTGTATGCCTATTCCTCACTCATTAAACCTGCTCCTGAACATGGTTTTCAAGTGTTGGAAAACAGTTCAATTGCAGCTAAAAGTGAAACACTGACTGCATGTCTCTGTAACCCGAAGACCGCTGTTATTGGTTTAATTTCAGTGTGGTCAGAAAAATGGTATCATTTGTGGGTTTTTGGTTTCTGTCCTTTACCTGAAAGCCAAAGAAGATAAAAAAAAAATCAGTACACGTTTCTTCAGAGAAACCCTGAAGGTTTTTCTTTCTCTGTGTCACTCAAACCCGTTAATTGAAACTGTGGCTTTTTTTAGGGCAGAAATTGCTTTCCTGGGGCGCTGATTGATTTTTGTAGACGAATGGCATGTTATACTGTTTACTTGCGGGAGCAAGAGCGAGGGCGGCGGTCAGAGAGCAGGAGAAATATGAGGTCTTCAGCAGCACTTTGTCAGCTCTCTCATCTAACCACTAATCCCATTTCATACCTTTAGGAGAATCCTTTCATCGGTATCACTACATACACCCGCCTTCCAACACTCCTGTTTCTAATTCTGAAGCTGAAAGCGGTCGCTGTTGTGCCGATTGATTGAGTGAATTGACTTCTGTTTGCCGTTTGATTAGATCCCTTGGATAATTTTATTGATCAGCCTGACTGGATTGATTGCGTTTTTCCACAGGTTGGCTCGTTCCCAGCCTGTCGAGGCGAGTCCTGTCAACCACTGCCAGCCTGCCGCCTTGGATCCAGGTAATCAAAAGCCACGTTACACATGATATATCTGTGGTGATTAATGCTAATGAGCCGCTGTGGCGAGGATTAAAGGAAATCCCCGCTCTTTCTCCACTCTTAAGTCAGTCTGGATTTACACACTGATATACCTACTGCGCTCTGATGTGCTTTCCTCTGTTTCACTCAGCTCCACTTCAACACTTTAGTAAATTTTATTTACAAGTTGCTGAGTTTGAAAACAATGTGATGGAAGATGTGTGTCCTGTCACAGGTTCAGTCAGAGATGTTACTAAAGGAAGTTGAAGTAATTTTCTCCATCGTCTCTATATTTCATGCCATAAAGTTAATTATGGACTGTTTGATCTAAGCAGTTCTACCTTCTATATATACTTCATGTTAAAAGCTATCAGTGGCTCCAACTAGCAAAATTATATTACAACCTGTTGGCACTGTAAGGGATTTCCCCACTAGTTTGACTTATGAGAGTCCCTTCATGGCTGCTTTCCAGTGAAATGCATTACAGTTAAATTTAAGTTGTCACACTTAGAGTGAAGAAGAAGAGGAAGGAGAATCTCATAAGACAAAACTGAGGTTATATTTGTATTTGTTTCTAAAACGTTTAACCAGATACCAACTCTGGATGGTATTACCTGACCTGCACTAACACTGTGAGGAGCCTTTTTTTAACCAGGATATGTCCTTCAGTGCACACATTAACCAAATGCGTTTGACTGCTTTCTTTCAGTATTACTTAATAGAAACATCCTGTCTCAGAATCACGCTGAAAAAACAGTTCACGCATTTGTTACTTTCAGGCAGGAATATTGTAATTAATTATCACCTAAAAGCTCCCTGAAAAGCCTTCAGAAGAACTGAAACGCCGCAGCGAGAGTACTGACAGGAACTACAAAGAGGGCTCGTATTTCTTCCATGTTAGCTTGTCTTCATCGGCTCCCTGATAAATACAGAATTGAATTTAGAATCTCGATCACATAAAAAGTCCTGAGTGATAAGGCTTCTTCATATCTTAAACATCTTGTAGTACCAAATAGAGCGCTTGGCTTTCAGACTGCAGGCTTGCTTGTGGTTCCTAGAGTTACTAATAGTTATAGCTGTCACCAAATGCTGCTCACAGGGGATCGTCTGGTACTCTAATATTGTAGGTCTTTACCTTATAATATAAAGCACCTTGAAACTTGAGATTATGCTTCTTTAAGGTGTTTTTTTCTTTCCTCGGTTGAATGATAAAAACTGTTCCATACTCAGAGTTGGTGACATCACTTCTGTACTTGGTGATGCTGCATTTGTTTTATAGGATTAAAACAAAAATAGATTATTTAATTTAAATAATTTAATAAGTTTGTTTTTTGTTTTTAACAGAGCTTCAATGTATTTTCAAACACGTCTACCCAACGAGCAGGGTCGAAAATTCACCCCGCAGGAGCGCTTTCAATCTAGCTCAGTTCGCAGGAAAACTAGTAACCCTGAGGACACAAGCAGGGAATTTATCCAGACGATGTTATTGGCTCTAGTTAAAATCTGTGTTTTAACATGCATGGTGTTAATGAGTTACTGGGAACAGTAAACTACTTGAGACGTCCGTCAGCAATGACAGAAATACATCCTGAAGTAACCACTAAATTATGCATGTACTCCATAAATCATCATGCTTGTTCTCAGCTACATCCATGTCCACTGTCCATTATCAGCTGGTAATGATTAACAAGCATTGGCATCGATATGCTCATTTGTTCTCATTTACTGTATGAGAGCCACATTTTTACTTTATCAACTACTCCTAGTTGTTATCGTTGGTTGGAGCTACACGAATTTCCTTTTATTGTTTGTCTTCCATTTTCCCTGAAGTCAAAAGGGGAAAAAATATTTTTTATAAAAAGATCTTCCTTCTCACACTAATACGGTTTTTACATGTTAAGTAAATCAGTTTGTCTCTTTGATAAATTAATTACAGTAATCCCACAAAGAGAGATGCATTTTTAGCCTCTTCTGCTGTGGTTTTAACTGAATCAGTAATGTTAAAGAAATGTTTAACTCTACTTGAGAAAGCAAAAAGCAGCACAAGATGCAACTATGTTTTACAGTCACTAAGTTTCATTTCCTCCTCAGTAAACATCTTTTTTTCTCTCTCTCTTATAAAACCATATTCTAGATATGCACATGTAAAGAATGCTTTTACACAGGAAATCCCTATTTATCTCTAATGCATTAGAGAGCCGGAGCGTTTCTGTTCTACCCGCTGTTATTGTAGCTGCCCTGGGAGTACTATGTGTATGTTTGGCTTTTTATCAGCTGGAGCGAGAAGGTTACACCCACAAACAAAATCTTAGAGCCAGAACACAGCATTCTTTTGTGACCACATAAACTTTAATGTGCTTATAAAGCGAATCCTTAAAAATTACCTTTTCCTTTTTACAAATTGTCCTGTGACTCTAGTTTTCTTTTGCCTAACTTAAAGGGAATCTGCTCATTCCAGTTTTATGTTCTTTAATAAGAGTATCTGCGATTTTAAGTAATCTTTTAAATATCCTTATTTATACCTCCATTCATCCACCGTCTCAAACAAGCTGTTTTCTCTCCATTGAAGTATTTTTTCCTGATTGGCTGCCCCTCATAAACTTCACCTGTGCACCTGAGATGACCATATTAGGGATATCATCTCTATATGACATCACAGCAATTTAGAGCAGTCTGAACGGTGTGCTGTTAAGATATATATCAGCTTTACATAACTAAACATAACACATAACAAAGCTCAGGATAAACTGTTTATTTAGGAATGAAAACTAAAGCATAGACGGATATTTTCGGCCACATGTTCAACATCTCTAAAAAACTTAAAGCAGGTAATTTTTGTGAATTCAGATCTACCGTGCAATTGACAAATAAATGTGGGTGTCTTATTTTTCGTTTTCACTTGCCTCAGTGTCTGAAATAACTGAACTGAACTGGGGGTTTCCTCAACACCATTGCGCCCTAAGGGAAATTCACCTTGAAGCTGCGTCATTTCCAAATTTCAGTAAATGTAAAATATATCACCACGGCCAGCAGGATTGGAGCCAAAATTTAGAAAACAGTCAGGTAAAGTAGGTTTTTTTAAGAATGCCACTTAGCAATCTTTGGTGTATTTCTGGGTGCATTTCTGAAACCAAATAAACAGACATATCAGTAAATCTGAGAATAGATTTCACCAAAACACCACATCCTTCTCTCACATCCTCATTGTGTGGTTGGTTTTCTTTGGGAGCAGACACGTCTGTAAGCAACATGTATGTTCAAGCACAAAAAGAGCAAAGGGGTGGGGGTGGGCTGAACTGGGCATTGTTTCGAGGAGAACCTTGGTCCCTGGTTTAAAACCGCCCACTCGCTCATGCATATTCATCACCATATCTAATTACTATTCGCCCCTGGCAGTGCACCTCCAGGTGCAGACGGTTTTCAGGTGCTCCAGTAAGGCCAGAGTGCAGCATCGTTCATACGACTTCTTAGTTTGTTTCTTGGAGGCGGTGGAGGGTGGTGGAGTAGGGGGGGTCACATGAACAGGATGTACCCATGGCCCAGTTTGATTCTGCTCTCACCTATGTGCTGAAATGGTTAGTCACACACTAATGATCTACCGGAAAGTAGTAAGTAAGTAAAGAGCACCACAACCATTCATTTACTTTCATTTACAAAGGAGCTTTCTGTTTTCTTCCTTTGTCTTTTTTCTGGTTCAGAGTGGAAGAAAAGCATTGAGAAACAAAACCAGTAAAAAGTTGTTGGGTCATTTCCTTATACTGCCAATGCTCAATCAAACCACAAGGAAGTGTTTTGAGAGAGGTTCAACATTTAGTTTAAATGTCGTTTCATTATGCAACTATAATACTGAAAAAAATCATCTGTTATTATAATACTTACATAATCCAAACATACATGCAGGTAAATTCCTTCACTAAAAAATGAAGAATCACCAAGTCTGTCATTAAAAATATTTTAACTAGTTTGTTTAAAGGGAGGTTTTCTGTCTATCAAATGGTCAGAAATAACAAGAAAATGCAGAACTGACAAACCTGTGGACAAATTATGCATCAATGTTAGCTTCTAAAATTGCATTTAAAGAGAAACTGAAGCCGTTAATATGACTAACACCCTTGCATGGAAGTGACACACCAATTATTCAGTCAAACATCAAATGAGGTTTTGTATTTTAAGGAAACAAAACATGGGTTTGAAAGGAAGTTTGTAAACTCCAGTTCGGTGGACAGGGAAGACATTGGTTCACAGGAGTATCAAATATGAGCCGCTGTGTTTGGCCTGTCGAGTTTTGCCCATAATCCAGGTGAGGAAGTACTACTTCATACCAACTTATCGCAAAGATTGCAGTACTAACTGGCAAACAGAGACATGAACATGTTTCCTCTGTCTTTGCGTCATTGCACTGGTTACTGTAGAGTTTAGGATTAATCTAAAAATCCTTTTGTACAATTGCAGCTGCTTGCATGGGCTTGCCCCCCCCCCCCCCCCAATTATCTAACATGTTATAGTGTTTAATACCCCACGCAGAATGCTTTAAGCAAGCTGTCTGCCAGCTGGTAGTAGAGCCTCACTTAACAGTCTTTCATATGTCAACAAAAAAAAGCGCCTCTTCTCTTGAGCCTTTTACGTCTGCCTTTCCGTGAACATTGTAGGTTAGTTTACATTATTTTACAGCTATATTTTAATTTCCATCGTGCTTTCTTACTGTCCCATAGTTCTATTTTTTTCCTAATTCTTTATTGATTGCTGTGCAGCACTTTGGTCAACATCTGTTGTGCTTAAATGTGCTATATAATTAACTTAACTCGATTATATAAGTGGCTTTAGTCCGCCTAGGCTTGCTGCTGACTCTGCAAGTTGATTTGCAACCATGGCCACACATACAGAGAAACGTTTGTTCCTATTGGAGAATAATTTTCTTTCAACCTGACATTTTCCACCAGGAATAATGAGATGTTGTGACCCATGGCTACTTAAAGAAAAATCCGAAAACTAAGTGTAATCTGTTTACTCTGAAAGCTTCCTTGTACGCTTGTGCAATCTCTTCTGTTTCTCTTTGATTTTCCAAATGCGATGTTGGTTTCAGTTTTGTCCAGAATATTTGTTTCAATGTTTTATTTATGGCTTCAAAATTTGTAAGAGAGATATTATTTGGACTATGCCAGTATTACATGTAGCATATTTATTTCCCATAGTGGTGAACATCCATTTTTCCTTCTTTTCTTCTGTCCTAGGTTCAGCTAATGGAAGATACTGCTGCTCCAAGATTTTTGTCAACCACCGCTGTTTCTCAGGACCCTACCTCAACAAGGGACGCATCGCAGAGCTGCCGCAGGCTGTCGGACCTGGAAAATGCACACTGGTCCTCAAAGAGGTGGGCTGATGTCAAAAACAGGTGGGGGGGAGGTTATATAGAGGAGCAGGTTTAATCAAAGGGTTGCACACTTTCAAAGGGAGAGGTGGGCCAGCAGAAATTGACAGAGGGAGGAGGTAAGAGACGGAGGCCGAGACAGCGATGTCTTGTTAACCACCTGCCGTTTCCCAGCAGCACCTTCATTTTAATGTGAGGAGCTGTCAGTCAGCAGTGTTTACTGTTATACACCGCCACCACCATTTGGGAAAACAGCCTTTTAATTTCTCTAGAGACTGTGTGCGCTCGTGCACTTTGTGCAGGTGTGAGAATGTAGCTTTCTCCACAGTTTTTTGTGATCTGTATCTTTTCTTTCACTTTCGCTTGGATCCTCATTCGTGTTTGTTCACTTTTGTCTTGAGCTGTTCACATCAAGCAGGAGTTTATTTGTCTTTTTCTTTGTTCTGTTTTTGCTTCCAGCTGCTGAGCATGCTGATCAACGCTGCCTACAAGCCTGGACGAGTATTGAAGGAGCTGCAGGAGCTGGAGGATCAGAGCTGGGACTGCCAAGAGGAGACCCTCAAAGCCAAGTGAGGGGAAAGGAAAATACAAAACAAAAAATGGCTGGGGAACAACAATGAACATGTTCTTTTCTCATTTCATTTGCTCCACTCCTGTTTTGGTCATGGGCCATTGAATTTCATAATAAATCATCACTATCTTTCCTAAAAGGGCCCTGTGTCCCTCCCCCTCCTCTCGTTTCCTGCGAGGCCATTTTCCCTGCCCCTCTTTGAATTTTTTATGTTGTTTTTTGTTGCTGCAGTATTTGTGTAAGGTCTGCATTTTCATCCACTGCTGGCTGCACAGAGCCAAATTATTCCACAGCTTCAGGCTGCGTGCTCGGTGTTTTCTAATCGAAAACGGCCCCATTTTTTCCGTCCGAAACGAGAAAGAATCAGGCAGTCATGAGTCTGAGTGAGTCACCTGTGCTGGCCCGCAGAGCACAGTGATCACATTCACGCACGAGTGTTTTGACAACTCGCCAGAGGATTTACTTTTAATTTTCTGGGGCATCTACCACCCAGAGAGCCAATTTATTTCTGACTCCAAAGTGGAGAAGGTTCAGTACGCAATTGAGTTCAATTAAGCAAGAGCAAAAACAAGTTGACAGAGAGTACATATTTCTCATTAATTAATGGATCTTGTTCCTGTTTGGTTGTAATTTTCTTCAGATTGTTACTTAAAATTGAGGTCCTGATGGAGCACATCTCAGGGTCACTGTGTGAATTAACTCTCATGGCGTGTCATAATCATTACAGGGCTTTTTTAAATAACTTGGCATGATTTCATAGATTATATTAGTGTTTAAAACATAAGAAAATACATTGTTAAGTAAAGTTTATATCACAAATGTTGCAGAATATCTGCAGCTTTTAAGCTATTGCAGATTTGCAGCTTTTATAGTTTTTATTTTTATTTTTCAGTTTTCAGTTGATAATCAGTAAAAATCAGACATTTTAAGGTGTTAATGTGGAGAATAGTTCCTTGTGGGCAGCAGTCTGTTCATTCCTACAAGTTCTAAGAGCAGAGTTAATGCTGATCCATAAAAATAAATTAGTAAGACAAACATAGTTAATAACTAAAAGTAACTGAATAAATTGAATTGACTGACTTAGTATTAACTGATTTGACCGTAGTTGCTGACTGCTGGTGCATTATGTTAGTTTGAGAACTCTAAAAGCAGAAGAAAGAGAAAATCAGTATTTTGTTTGTGTGTTTTTGTTTCGTTTTGTTTGCTTCTTCTGCTCCTTGACTACCACAAGCCGCGTTCTCCTTTCATTAGGACTGCCTCATGTAAGTGAAAATTGTATCTATGAAAATTATTATGAGTTAGACGCACTGCTCTGGAATTCCCCTCATCTAACCTCCCCTCAGAGCCAACAATGGGCTATAGTACCAGATAAACACGCATGTGTCTCATTTAATGATTAATGATTAAACAAAGAGATCAGATAAACTCTGCTGCATGTTTAGAAACCTTTAAGTCATCCTGTCCTGTCAGAATTAACATATCAGCATTGCATTTTCTAAGGGTATAATACTTAATTTAACTATTTTATTTTCTATTAGGGCTTTAACTTGATTTTGATTTTCCTTAACAGTTGCAAATTAAATGATTAGTCATTCAGTCTATGACATGAAAAATTCCTTTTCTGATTTCTGTAAGCACGTTTATGTTACACAACAGAATGTATTGAAAGAAATTTATCGATACAACTAATTGAAATGTGACTTTGTTGATGTGTTTTGGTTTAAAATCAAACTAAACTGCTGTTTCACTAATGATTTATTATTGGATTTTAACCTATTAACCTCCAAAAAAAAGAAAGTAGCACAGACCAACATTAGTTTGTAGGTCATTATATTTTTTTCTTGCCAGCAGCTCCGCTCTCTTTGCCCGACCTTAGCCATTATGTGGGATATTGCCAAATTGACCCTTCATCTCACTCCGTTCTCCTGAATCGGCCTAATCAACCGAACAGTCTGAAGTCATGCGGGCTGTCGTAAAACTGCCCGTTTTTCACATCCTTGCTGTGCAAGCAATCATCATTCACCTATGAGTGCTTTGATGGATCACAGATGGTTTAATTAGCCATTGTCCTCATAAATAAAAGTAATTCTTCACTGACAATGTCCCTCTGTCTTTCCTTTCCATCCTCCCACACACAGATATAAAGGAAAAACGTATCGTTCCACCATACGGATTGTCCGCCTAGCAGACCAGATCCCAGATTTCTGCCGTAAAGTGTGTGTGAAACTACAGTGCTGCCCGAACCTCTTCAGCCCCATCCTCGTTACTGACAAGTGCCCAGAGAACTGCTCCGTCCAAACAAAAACCAAATACAGTGAGTCTCTGTAATTATACGCATCACTTCCTGCGCCACAGCTATAAAGGAGACCCAAATCAAAGCTTGTGATGCTGCAGAGTGTATAATTGCCCTGGATGAGTGGCTAAGTTTTGTTTTGGGTGCATTGTTTTCAACATCTGCTCTGCGCCCACAGCCTATTACTATGGGAAGAAGAGGAAGCTATCCAAGCCCACTGCAGGAGAGGAGACAGCAGAGGGAGAGCTGGCCAAGCCGACGCGCCGCAGGAAGAAGAGGAAAGCTATCTTTGTGCAGAAGAAAAGACGCTCCTCTGCTGTGGACTACACTCCCGCTGGCTCCCCGCAGGTTAGAAAACACCTCACTTCTTCACTTCTGCCTCAGTCTTTTATTTTGTCTCTCATAACAAGTGTCCTGTGCACTGTGACACAGCAGCAGGTACACTCACAACAAAGTGCACAGTGTATAAATTATAAACAAAATCACATGTGAATATAGAAAATGCGGGGTAAAAGAGGAGCTTCTCATGCAGGTGCCTTATCCAGATATATCCACTGCTGGGCACTGAGTTATTTATTGTAGCTAAAAATAGCCACACATCTGGCACAGAAAGGTTGCAGTCAATCACATTATAGTTGTTCATTTAATATGCAGATGCCACAGAAGTATCGTCTTCAGGCATCAAGTCTGCATTTGTGTGAGTTTTAAAGCGTATTATATGACTACCTCACAGGTTAAGGCCTCAGTTAGCTTTAGCATATTAACACAGGGATAAGGTCAGTTTTCAGTGAAAGCAGGCATGAGTTCATTCTCTAGTTTTAACAGCCTACACAGGCATTGCATTCAGTGCATTATATAGTGGACCTCTGAACCATGATGTCTAGGCTCCTCCTGGAATATTTTTATATGAAACTGTGCAAAGTATGGGAGTCTAGCTAGACTGCCTCAAGTGGCCATAAGAGGAGCTACAGGTTTTTGTTTTGGTTTGGTTCAAGTCATCTTGAATTTTTCAAGATGGCTGCAAAGTGGTGAGATTTGCTTCTAGAAAGGCTTTGGTTGTACTACAACATGGCGCCGTGGCAACAAGGAGCTTTTGAGTCACCATAGCAATGAAAGAAAACCAGCACAAAAAGAAACATTCCACCTGAGACTGCTAACATCATCAGTTTCAACAAGACTCGTGCCTGCTGGATTAAATGAAGAGTCGCAGAACTCTGACTTAAACAGACTCTCATCATGCCCGTCCTCGCTCTGGGTTTCATCTTGGGTTTGGTCATCACAAAATCTGTAAGAAAACTCACGCAGCTGTTCCTCAAAGAAGAAGACGAGGCAAGCAGAGATGAGGAAATCACTCCAGGACCTTCTGGTGCCGTTGTCCAGCAACGTCCTCCTGATCCAACAACAATCAACAACCACGTCCGGCAGAGACACCAGAGCAGCTTTACGTTCAGCCTGAATGTTGGGTTGAGCACAAATACTGGTCAGCCAATCACATTGGACTAAATAAACATGTGATGATTGATATGCTCAATATTGTGTGATATATTTATCAATAACATCAGTAATTTGCAAAACTACTTTTCTGTTTTTAAAAGCTTTTCACAATTGTCTGAGACATTTCTGTTGAATATTACTCCTCATGGCTTTTGCATGATGAAGTGAGACAATACCATCGTTACATTTGTCACAGCAGAATGAAATGGCTGATTTAGGTCATTTTTTGTCCTGGTTAAACAGATTTAGAGTAAACAAAGAAAGGAGGTCTGACAAATATACATTCACTACGAACAGCACTTATTTTGAAGCCACTTATAATAAAGAGAGTGCCATAACTTTAATTTCAGAGGTTATGTGGACACCTATATGAGCTTCACAACATTTTGCATGTAGGCCGGGGCGTAACTTCCCGTCACTGGAGTCCTTCAAGAAACTTCTCAGAACTCGCGTATTAAGCAAAGCCTTTGACCTCTAGCCTTTTTTTGTTTATTTATACTCTTTTGTAAAGCGTCCTTGGGTTTCTTGAAAGGCGTTACACAAATCTAAGTTATTAAGTATAACACAATGCTACACGCTCACAGTTTCAGAGCGTTACGGCTTCATTAAGTGCTTAATCCAGACCACTGTACAAATGCCATAGTAATCTTATGTTATCGGTACAGGAAGAGTATAAACTGGCATGACTTTTTTACTACAATCATGAGTGGAAAGGTAAAATATAATGTCCACAGCACAGCTGAAAGGTTCCTGCACCTCTGCTATGGGTAAGCATCAACACAGCTGAAAGAGTATTTGCTTACATGCTTCCTGTTTCGGGTTTTAATGGGCTCTTTCGGGGCAAGGATCTTTAGCATTTCTGAAAACTCGCATGGATTTCTATTCTGGATCCCTTGAGTGCCATACCTCCTCCTCACGTAATGTCTGTTGCCATTTAAATGTAAATATGATTATCTGGAGGCCACAGCCTAGAACAATGCTAAGCATGCAGCGCCTCAGCAGAGAGAGAGACAACCTTTGGATTTGCATCAATCAGGCGGCAATCGAGCAGCATTCTGACAGCCTTTGAGTCCTGAATTAATAGAAATTCCTGTGTCCTGTCAACAAAAGACAGTTTTATTATTCATTATGTCTTTTGTCATTTGTCACAAAGGATTTAAGACACATTTATCACCATATTTGTTTTATGACTAAATGATCAGTGTTTATCACTCATATTAGAGGCCAGTCCAGCTGATATTTAGAGAAATGGGAAAATCTACTTTTATTAAAAGTGTATATAAGCACTTAATCCGCCTTTTAATACGCCCACTGTGCAGTCTGGATGAATGAAACAATAGAAGACACGCAGAACCTTTCACACCATAGAAAGCAAGTCAGGATTGGAATAAACTGTAATTATTTTAAAAGGCTCTGTTAATTTCAGTGTGCACTTGTCTCTCTTCATGCGCTCCCGCTCTGTTTATGAAAAACAAACTGTCACTCTGTGGCTAGAAAACATAATAATAAAAATTCATGAGGGTGAGATGTCCTTGTCACTGCTGCTGTGGTTAAAAAAACAAAAACAAACATTTCAGAAAACTTTTAGTCACATTTTGTTTGTGTTACACCTTTTTGTGCAGGTTGAGTTATTTACAGGTGAATAAAGAGGTGGTATTACGAATAAATAGATTTTAGATAAATAGATTTTTAAAAGTGATCACTTAAAATATTAACACATACTGTAGAATAGAAAGTAAAAAAGCAACATAAAAGTTAAAAGAAGGCCCTGAGAGATTTTAGTTTGTGTCTTAATTTATATTCATATACTACGTGTGAATATGCTGCAGACCGCTATATGACAGGGATAAAAAGACAAAATCTGACCATTCATCTTCCGGTTAAATAAGGGGAGAATAGTTGATAAGATTATAATAAATATATTATTATGACTGTTAAAGATGACCAAAAACAACAGATTTAACATTAACAGTTCTGATGACGATACAAAATTAAATATAAAATAAATACTGACCTGAAAGTCAGGCTGAAAGATAGATTCGTCTGGAAAAATATTAGACTTGTGCAACAACATAAATACATTTCAAGACACGTAACAACAGACTTCTGTACTAACAGTGATTACAGGAAATTATCGCATTCTTAAATTTTGGTCGTCTGCACTTGGGCAGTGTTGCTGAGTTGTTAGCAGGAGGGCAGTACAACCTGGCGTGTTGGATAATAAAAAGCTGCATTAGTGTAGCTGTGGTGTTCGCACAATAAAATTTTGTGGCAAGCGTACCCCACTGTGCCTTTGAACCGGTAACTAAAATGAAATCTGTTTCTTCTGTTCTTCAGCTAAAAGCAGGAGAAGTTTCCATTTCTTGCATCATAAATACGTCTCCCAGATTGCTGTCTGTGTCACTTTTAAACCACAGGAATATGTTTTTAACACCAGTGAATGAGCAGGTAGCATCTTCTATGTGACTGTATTATGATCAATTGACCTCAGCACTCTTTATTACAAGAAGACTTTTTAAATGTTGCAGATTCCTCCTTAAAATCCACAGTGAAACTCAACAAGCCAGTTTAGCAGGGAGTTAAGGTCTGCTTTAAATCAGAGAAAGCCCAGATGGACAGATAATCCAGAATAACTGGGAGTATTCTAGCAATAAAGTCAATAAATTCAACATATCCAACTAACATTACATGAAACCTACTGTGGTAATCACTTAGGTTCAAATGTGGCCCAAACAGGTTTTGGAGCACCTAACCTCAGAAAATATTACCAGTGTATTACCAGGCAACAAGCATAGCCCTGAAAAAACTGAAACAACAAAAAAAAAGAATGAGCTTCATTGGTCACAAGTTATGAAGTAAAAAGTGCAATTTTTAGCTTTTTAACCCCAAAATCGTATCCTCCAGCACTCCTACAATACTCCAAGTGTTTATACCAGAAGTTTGGAACACTGCATTGCTTGTCAACAAACAACATAAAAGTAGTGTAAATATACCTGCATAATATTCAAAATTTCTGGTTTACTAATAATAAAGAATTCACGTGGCAACATTTTATTGCAGTGGCTGGCTGAGGTTAATCTAGTCTTACCTGTTTTATGTACTTGTGTCTATAGGAAAGCATGATAACCCAAACCCCAAATTTACCAAGTTACCTTCCTCATTACATTAAAAAAACCACACATTCATGTGGCCTCAACAAGGATGGCGGTTGCTGGGAGGGAGGGAATCGTTAGGCTGAAAGTATAGTTTATGCGTGAGGTGGTTCAGCAACATTGTGGAGTTTTACTGGCCGGACTGGTTGGAAGATTGTTTCAGTCCTAAAGAGAAACACAAAGTGATTGAATAGATAACCCGCTCATGTTAATGATCGTTTCTGTGCTCTGGCATCTGTGAGGAGTGGCTTCTTTTCTCTGTGTTATATCACTGCAGACTGACATGTAACCAATTACATGTAACCAGATTAGCAGATCTATCAAATCATTTATACTATTAACGAATTTTTTGCATGAAAAGCTGTTTTTATCTCAGTCAGCTACAGTCGTAATATTTAATAGATATTTCTGTCTACATTTAAATTGACGTAGCAGCTTCTGGTTAACGTAAAAGCCTCTGCTTTGTCTGTGTAAACAAGAAACTCTGAGTACATGAGTTTTGGCTAATGTCATTAAAAGAAACTTCAGATTTCAGTCCAGCTCAAATGTTTCCTCTACTGTTACACCAGTGCGTTTCAGCCTTTTCTAACAACATTTTACCAAAATGATCCCAACAAAATGCTGTGAAAACATTTAGGAGGCATAAACATTCAAGTTCGGCTTTTGTAAGGAGCTTTTGTGCTGATGTTCAAATTAAAAATTTCTGTATTTACTGTTTATCCACAGCTTTTTTACAATTCTTTTGCTTTTAATTATTCCACAACTCTCATTTGACTGGTAAATTGAATAAATTGCTAAACTTGGTGAATAAACATTGAGGCAAACCTTTCTGCATGATATGCATGATTTCTGGGACAACTGTGAACAACTGAGCGCCTCTCTAACTCCCTTCTTTCTCCCCTCTCCAGGACAGTGATGAGGGAGAGGAGGATGAAGAGATGGCGTTGCAGTCGGGCAGCGAGGGCACCAGCTCGGAACCTCGCGAGGACCACACAGACACCTCATCGGTGGAGGTGACCAGCAGCCGTCCTCGCCGGGCCACGGCGCTGCGCAGGGCCGTCAGCGCGGGAAACCCGGCACTCGGCCCGGCACTCAGCCCGGAGGCTCCCGCAGGTCGCAGGAGGTCAACTCGCTCGCTGTCTGCGTACAACCAGAACAGCAAGTACCAGCCCGCCAAAGGACAAGACATGCAGGTAAAGCAGAAAGGCTACAAAACAGGTTCCCCATACTCTTTATGACAAGCAAGTTTACTGATATTAATGCATCATATTTTTGAAACACTTAATTATATGTAAAAGTAATAGTGTCGAGAGGAGAGTAAAACAGCTCCATCACGAGCTTCTACACCAGAAAAAATCAACGATGGGGGGATTTATCACATCAGGATTTTGCATCATGATTTATCCTATCCACACTGAAATAGTTGAGTGATTAACATAACCCAGAGCAGTGTGTGCTACCCTCTAGTTCACAGTGTGCCTTTTATGTGCAACTTCAGGTGGAGGAGGAGGAAGGTCAGCTGGTTTTGGACAGAAACCCTCTGGAGTGGAGCGTAGATGAAGTCGTCCAGTTCATTAACTCTACCGACTGCGCATCTCTGGCTGGCATTTTCCAGGAGCAGGTAAACAAAAAACAAAAACACAATTACTGTTAGGTATACATGTCAATGAAAGTGTTGCTTGTTTGATAAATAGGGGCTGAAGGTGCAGAATAAAGTAACTAAATTTCAGGGGTTGAGCAAAAATGTAGCATTAGAGAAATCATAGATATTTTTAGACAGAGCCCCTGTTTTCAACTGTCTGTGTACAAACTCTTCTATAAATTGTTTTAATATATTTTTCTTGATGGCCCAGTGTTTGGTTAGATACAGTGTTTGCCTCACTGATTGGTTTAGGTGGCAACAATGTGGGTTTTTTATTAGTTTATTTTAGAGTGATTAACTCGACTGACTTCAGCTTGTGTGTCTCTCCTTGGACTGTGTGTGTAGAAGGAGGGGAGGGGCTGTCTTTACACACAGAGTAGATAAACACACACAGAGAAACACCTCAGTGTAACCAAGACAGTAAAAGCCAGCAGAGACTCTCACATATTACACTGAACACAGACGTGATAAATAACATGTGTGGATATTATATTTTTAACCCCTTATTTGTTTCTGTGAGGTGCAGTGGGTACCAGCTTTTCTCAGGCAGATATTTATCCAGCTACAAATGACATCTTCTTCGAGCGGTCGATTATTTTCTGCTTTTTTGGGGGAATAAAATTGTTTACTTCATATTACTGCACATTTTAATTGGTTTAGAAAATAAAGAACAAAAAGAGAATTAATAATACAAAAATGTGTGAAATCAAGATTTAAGCCTTTTAAAAAACCATTAGTAACATTTCTTGTTTTGTTACTTAGAGACTTTTTGTAAGGTTATTATAGTAATTTAAACATGTTTTAGTTAACTCAAATGGAAATAAAACCTAGCCTAAATAGTCTAAAGTGAAATGAGATTGTGTACTTACAAACAGAATGAGTTTTGTTTAGTCTGGTGATTTGGTCACATTTGTCAAGAAAACCAGCCAATGAAGGCTTTGCTCAGTGTGTTGAGATTAGAATGGCAATGTTATTAAATGTGTCGAGTGCTTTCATTATCATATTTTATTAGAGCTTTGTTTTGAACTTTTCAACTTAGAATCTAACAAATACTTTATATAAATACACTAAAAATAAAAAAAAACTCATCCTTAGACTGTTTGAAACTAAACTGAAGCTCTAATTTTGTATAAAACGCCCTCTGCAAGCAGCTTTTTTTGAGGTGAAGTACATTACAGGAGTTTAAGCTGAAAGCTTCAAACCCTGAATATTTCTGTTTAACTTGTGTGCAGGACATCGATGGTCAGGCCCTGCTGCTGCTGACTCTGCCCACAGTCCAGGAGTGTATGGACTTGAAGCTCGGGCCTGCCATCAAGCTGTGTCACCAGATCGAGCGTGTCAAAGTTGCCTTCTACAAACAGTACGCCAACTGATGGAGGAGCAGCGACAGGAGCAAGCCTGGAAATGTTGGATTACGTGGATTTCCAAATTATTTTGGCAGTCGGTTACTTTGGATAAGCACACACCGAGGGACAGCAGGAGGATGTTTCCAGATGAGAAGCTGAAGGATTAATTTCTGGGATACTATCTGTGTGAAAATGATATGCAGTACCCACGAAAAACAAAAAAACTTCCTTACTGTCGACTCCGGCAGAACCGAACACACTGAGCTGATCTGTGTGCTCTACTGATCTGTGAAGAAGCTGAGGACTTGTTTTTTTTTCTCTTACTTTTCATTTCCATTTGATTTGTCATAGAGGAGCATCATAGCAATTAAGTTTTAAAAATTATAATCATGAAGAGTTTTCCCTTTTTTTCTGTGTGGCATAATCGGTTCAGAAAATATAATCGGAAAGTATTTAACAAACCAAGAATTAATATATTTGGAATATTTATTGTTACCCTTATTTATAAGGAGTGATTATCCATTTGGATTTTTGAGGAAAAAAATTGGAGATGTATATCACAATGTACGTATTAGCTAATCTTTATTGAAAACGGGAAACTATGGTATGAATTTATTCAGTTCAAATAAGCATCCCATGTGTTTGAGAGAAGAACACACTGGAATAGTCTTACTCTCTTCTCATTGTTACAGTCACATGAATCAATCATGGAAGCTATTTTGTGTCCATCTATGCAATTCTGTTGCAGATATTTTTGATAAGTAAGAAAATAAATTTCTATTGATTTTTATCTGTTTTTCTTGTGCTTCGCTTTTCAGTTCAAACACTAATAAACATAAACTGAAGGTTCCTGACAGCATGACATATTCACCTGGTATAAATGTATTTCACTCCACTTTTGCTTTTAGAACTTAATTGTATTTTTTATGGAACAAATTCACAGAGGTGCTGGAAATTTTCCTCAGAGATTTTGGTCCATGTTGATATGATAGCATCACCCAGCTGCTGCACATCCATGATGGGACTCTCCTGAACCACTAAATCCCTAAGGAGCTCTATTCGAGATCTGATGACTGTGGAGGCCATTAGAGCAGAGGTCTCAAAGCTTTTTTGCGCCACGGACCGGTTTATGTCCGACAATATTTTCCTGGACCGGCCTTTAAGGTGTCGCGGATAAATACAGCAAAATAAAACCAGTGCCGGTACCTAAAAAAAGAAGATTTATTCATAACACACGGGAAAAGACCCAGGGAAACAAAGTTAACGATAAAAACGATTAAAAAAATACGTCTAAAAACCGGTAAAAACTCTTAAATCCATAAATTTCACACCTGAGCGTCAGCTCTCGTGGCCCGGTACCAAACGACTCACGGACCGATACCGGTCCGGGGCCCGGGGGTTGGGTACCGCTGCATTAGAGTACAGTGGACTCACTGTCATGTTCAGGAGAACAGTTTAAGATGATTTGAGCTTTGTGACATGGTGCACGAGTACACTGTGGTAATAAACAAATAGACAGTCAAATTCTGAACCTGCCTGAATGTAGCAGCAGAAATCAGAAGTCGCTATTGGATGGTCTTGTTTTTGTGAGTGTGTGTGAACATTTTAGGCTGGGCAGCACTTGGTGTGTCTTCTGCTGCAACATTCGTTGTGTTGTGCATTTAGAGATACTCTTCTGCATACTTTGGTTATAGCTCCTCCATACTGTCCTCAACAAACTGAGACGTCCTCCAGCATGGTGCACTGAGATTGATTTCCATGTTATAGACCAAAGGACAAATGAGACGAGGAGGCACAAATCACAGAAATGAGAAAAGCCTCCTGTCTCAGAGGATAAAGTAAGGTGCTACAACAAAGCCCTGTATAATATAAATGAGGATTATTTTGAACTTTGAATAAATAAAGCGACGCAAAAGTGACTCTAGTAGAGTCCAAGAATAGAAACTATGGAGATGGAAATAAACACAATAGACATTTAAAAAAACACACAAAAAAAAAAAAAGAAGTAGTTTTCACACATGATAGTTTACATGTAAAATGTTTGTTACTACAAGGTGCTGTCTGAGTGGAGTACAGGAGGCAGGACACATGGTTGGTTATCCACCTCCCACATGGGCACAGTTGGACTTTATACAGATTTTGCACTAGGCAGCTGGGAGGTTGAAGACCGCCTATATCCAAACCACATTCGGCTCAGCTGCTTAGAAACAATTTCCAGATTGTAACTCAAGGTCACTTGCTAGTTTTATGAGAAGCCTCTTTAAAGATGACTTAAACTATGATGAATTTACAATACATTTGTGTGCAGTATTTGTATTTGTAGTTATCAGCTCACAGCGTGTTAGCAAGTGTTTCAAAGTCCAACCTTAATGTAATCAGTCATCATTCACTTTATCTAACTATTGGTGAGCAGTTTAACCAAGTTTAGCAACACATGAGCTCTTGGTTTCATTTTTTTATTGTTAGTTTTCACTAATACTCATTCATAGCCATTAAATATACATTTAAGTTAGAGCTTTTCATATATGAAGCTATCTGTAGCTGTTTTGTAGAAGGTGAAGGGTTAGCATATAGGCCCTGATGCATGGTGAGACATAGGAAGCCAGACGTCTCTGTGGTTAACAAAACACACATCAGCACTACTCCAGGTCACAGTTTAAAGAGGAACCGCACTCTGTCGTTGCTGCTTTGGGGAAACATTTAACGCTCTGCTGCTGGTTTTACTTTCATATAAAATTACAAATGAATTATTTGTCATGTTTCCACTGATAAGAATGAGTGAAGAAATTTTAATTAAAAGCCACAGCAGTTAAGAAAATGTGAAACTAGTGCTTCCTAAGAGTGGTTGTATTAATGAGTAATTAATGAGGTTAATGGTGGAGTATATCACTAATTGACACGCCAGGATCCTTTTGCAGTTGCTTGACACAGTAAAAAGAAGAAGAAAAAGAGATATATAAAAATACTATTAAAGTAGAAATAACAATATGTTTAAAAACAACAATAGATTAGCTCAAAGTAATGTATAAATAGCTGGAAAGTAAAGTAGTAGCAATAGAAAAAGTTTGAAAATGCAAAACATAAGGTAAAAACGTAAAAATGTAAGCTAATATTAGTGGGAAGTATAAAACTTTAGCTAAATGTGAGGTGTATAAACAACTAAATCAGTGGGATGTACTGAAAAGTGGTGTGCACGTGGTTTAAAGTGTGAGCTAACGGCAGTGGACAGTGATATCATGATCATGGGACTAAAGCTCCTCTGTGCAATTTTAAGCTACTTGTGTGTCAAAGGTTGGGGTTGTATTTAGTCAGATTTAGAGCGTTGTTCATGAAATAAAGCAAAAAGTAAAAGATTGTGCAAACATTGTGCAAACATGGTACCAATAGGAGATAAAAAAAAGAATAAAACAAAAACTAACATGAGGTTGGAAATATTAGCCAAGCATAAGGGAGAAACAGGCTGATTGTGGAGGGAAAAAACTGTGGATAAATGGTTAAAACAACTGAAAGTAATGGATCAGTGATAAAGAAAATGAAAAATAATGTACATAGAAAAAAATAAAGCAGTAGTATTCAGACAAATAGGTTGCTGTGGATCTGGTTATTATAAAATAAAAACAATGAGAAAAAAGCAGAGACAGACACTAATGTACTTCACAAAACACAAATCAGTTACAAAGGAATTACTCAGGCAATAAAAAAACATTTTCAAAATTGAACAAAGGAAAATGCCACTAAGTTATTTAAAACTGAACAATGTAAAAAAACAAAAAAAAGGAGAAGAAGAAGAAGTAAAAACGGGCAATTTATCCCTTTTCTTTAAAACATAATGTGTTTTTATACAAAGTGTATCCATGCAAGCTCTCAGACAGCGATCACTTCATTACACACAATTACAATCCTTCATTCAAAACCCACTTCCAATTCTGTTCAGCAGGCCGACTGGTCAGGAACATCCAGCTAGTCCAGTTCTAGGCTGGACCTTTGTGTTTTATTATCACGAGGTCCTAAAAGTTCAGGGAAAAGGTCTTGGTTCTTCCATAACAGTGATTATAAAGATTCCTCCCATATTAGCTTTTCTTTATCACCTCGTTGTTAAAACCACAGCTGGATTTAAACTGATGGCTCAGAGGTCTCTCCCTGTTAAAAGAATGATGCTTCTGTTGCCAAGTGCTTGCTCACAGGGGCTTGTTGAGTTTCTGTCTATACGGTCATGTCTTTATCTTAAAGCACAAAGTGCATTAAGATTGTGATTTGTTTTAGCACTGGGAGACATATTAAGTGGTGGGTGTGGCAGTTCACCAATGGTGCTATAAGGTGTGACATCACACTGTTTTTGTGTCTTTTGTTTGGTAATCTGTTTAAATGTGACACCTGTACGCACCTGTACCTGTTCATCACTTTAATATAAATTTACGTGTTTTTATTTCTGATCACCTGGACTTCATCAACTCAGAAGTGGTCTGGCAAAATTACTGCTTTGGTCAAGATATTTATTTCTGTCGTGGGATTGTTTTTAAATGACGATTTAATTTATTAATGGAAAAAAGTGATGTAAAACTACTTGGCCCTGCTTGAAAAAGTACTTAGTCTCTAAACTTAACAACTGGTTGTGCCACCCTGGACTTGAATCAGATTGAGATGCTGTGTCATGACCTTAAACTGGCCGTTCATGCTGAAAACCCTCCAATGTAGCTGAATTACAAGGGCCAAAATTTCTCGACACTGACGTGAAAGACTGTCGTCAATCATCACAAACACTTTATTGCAGCTCTTGGTGCCAAGGGTGGCACAACCAGTTTTTAGGTTTAGGGGGGACTGACTTTTTCGCACAGGGCCAGGTAGGTTGAGATGCTTTTCTTCGTTTAATAAATGAAATCGCAATTTAAAAACTGCAATTTGTATTTACTGAAACATTTAATTGTTGCAAATATGCAAAAATCTAAGAAATCAGGACAAGGCCAAACGCTTTGTCACAGCACAGTATACAGTCCCAGAATAGTATTGACGGGTGTTGCCGCTATGACTCTTTTGGAAGCTTCAGCATTAGTGTTTTGGCATCACCATGGTGGTTTTTTAGAGCCAAAACTGACCATATTTGTGGTTAAGGATGTAGTTAGAGTTATCAGCTCATGCTATCAAGCTTGGCAAGCAAGTTACATCTATAAACTAACTGATAAACAGATACAGCAGGAATAAAATAGCACAATTTGACCTGAATGAGTTGCACCACACGAGTTATTTAATTTCATTTGATCAAAAGGGGGTTCAGTTCATCGAAGGTAAGGACTAGCAGACACCCATCAGCTGGAGCTGCCTGTCTCAGGATGCCTGCCAATCAGTGCGCCCACACACTGTGTTCAGATTGATGAGTTATAAAAGATTACACACCACTCTGAGATGTTATAAAGCAGGACGTTTATCGTGAGCCAGCCTTCAGTGGCCATTAGAGAAACTGCTGTTTTGTGCACTTTGTGCACCTGAAGCTTACCCTTGTAAATTCTGAGATTCCTTGTGATGTTATGCTAAATAAGTGAAGATACGTTTAACTGAAATTCAGGGTACAGCCGCTCTCCTGCCTTTACTCTTAGCACAGACTTGGAGAGGTGACATGGAACGGATTGAACTTGGTCGCCACTCTGTCTCTCTCGCTGGGCATCGCTTCCTCTCACTCTCGCTGAGTTGTTAGTTCACTACATTCATAATCATCCTTGCAGGTCTTGCATTACTGAAGCCTTACACTTCCATGCGTCACCACATTTCATCCATGTGTGTCCATGTGATTCGTCT